ATTCCTCTGGCTCGTCAGAGCCATCGCCACAGTCATCGACAGTGTCACATTTCCACCAAAACGGAATACATTTGTCAGTTTTGCAACGGAACTGTAAAAGGAAGGAAAGAAGGAAGAAAAGATGTGATATTATTATTTATTTATTTATAAACATAAATAGTATCGTTTAGGAAAAATCAGATCCACTGCTTATATCACTGTTCCATTAGTCAACTTGGTTGTTAATTTTATGAATATTGTATTTCCAGATAAACTAAAACATCCACAGTTACAGAAAAGGGCCTGAACATGCAGCGTTGTACTTGTGTACAGTATTGCTTCTATTGTTTGAATTCAATGAGAAAACCAGCAGCTAGGCCTTTTGACAGGATAAAACACTTGTACAAACCCAAAAAATCCTTTGTAAGACCTTGGCAGTGCCTTTCCTCTGAGCTCAGGCAACGTTGTACCTTTGTTCTGACCAAAACAGGAATGCAAACAAAACAAAGGGTAGAAATAATGCGATGCAATCTTCTAGGGCTAAACTTAAAACTGTTCATCGTGTGGCTAAAGTTAGGGAGAAAAATTTGGATGGACTATCAGCAACTTTTAGGAAATGTTGTGTTTCCTTTCTGGTGTCTTTACAAACACAGAAAGAAAGGAAACCAACAAGTTCAGAAGTGGAAGACAATTCTCATTCTTAGTATTTTCTATTTGCTAACCTAGCCTTCCTGCTGCTTAATTATTTTAAGGTGCCAGACTCACTCTGCTCACTACAAGGGACTTCAACCTGTTAAATTGACATTATGAATTTAATTCCAGGAAATGGGTACTAACTCTTAGATACTATTAAGCTCTGCATGAAAACGCTTGCATCCCCATCTAAACTGGGGAGCCAGACACTGCAAAATCAGGGGTCAGAGTCACATGGGTGTGCCTGAAATGGCCCGGGTTTTGGTGTTCTAGAGTCTGATGCGTTTTGCACTAAATTTCTCATATCAGATAAGCCATCAAAAGACAGTGGAAAGTCTGTAGATGTGCAAGACCAGTGCATCAGCCATTCAAGTACTTTTCACCAGAAATAGCCAACAGTGGGTGCGTTATCAAGAGCAATTACATCACAGGAACAGCTCTGATTTTACAGCATCATCTGAAAATCTTAAGGAGCCAAGTATATTTTTGCCACTGATCCCCGCATGTTATGCCATCAGATTGATAGATTATCAAACAGTAAACAGATTTCAAAATTGGAAGAAAATTACTAATAATCAATGCCAACTTGTAACTGTCTATCTGAAGCAGCTTCTTTTATTTAACCCTGTTCTCCCTCCTATGGAATCCACGAGTTTTAAAATATTGCTCCTGAAGGATCCAAGATGTGATGCCATCCTTCAATTCAGACTACCAATGAATTATTTAGAAAGGAATAGAGCCATTCAATCAACTGTTATCCTATAAATTCTCTGTGGAATAAGTTTCCAGTGCCATTTAAAGAATTTTTTTGAAAAAAGAAAAAAAAAGTGGTGTTTTTTTTTAACCAAATAAATTTGAGAAAGTAGATATGCAGGAAAAATAGGTAAGAAATTCCTCATTTTACAAGTTTTACATTTTCTTTTTGTCATCACTTGATAGGGAGTAACAAGCAGACAAACTAAATAGAAAAGATACGTTGAACATAATAAAATCACACCAAACACTACCTTAAGGGAACAGAGGGAGACAGTGGCAAGGTTTCTTAAATGATGACCTTTGAGGTCCCTTTCAACCCTGACCATCTATGATTCTATAAATAACAATATTACTTGAATGAAACTGTACATCATTTACTTAGGCGGCCACTGTTTCCTAAAAATTAAGAGTAAAACCCTTTCCTTAATGAGTACAGACAAAATGCATCATGATGTAGAATGTTTTAAGAGGTCATTAGCACACATACAACAAAAGTGGAATACTAGAAAAGCTGGACTAGTAGAAAGATATTAAAGGCCATATCTACTATTATAATCAATCAATTGTCTGGTAGAACACTCCAAATACTTGTATCAAAGTGGTTCTCCTGTAAGAAATCAGTATGTTCTACTTCATATAACATGTATTTTAAGAAAAAAAAAAAAGTCACCAAATATTTATTTCAAGTACTAGGGAATACACCTCCCATAAAGAATTCAATATTTTAATTGATGTAATTGTTAATTAATTGTATATTCTACCATTTCCATTTCAGCTACTGGATTGTTTTTAACGTAACCCTATCCTTCTCCTACCCAGCGACGTGGACAGAGCTTGTTTTCTTTTATTATTGTAAAATGCGTTCATGCATGAATATTCCCAAATCGTTGTTATACATACTTTGTATTTTTATGTTTCATATTTCATACAAATGTTTTTTTAAAGCCATTTTTACAGGTTTAGTAGCTGTATTTGTTCTAGTGACTGGCAGAAACATCCACATTTGAAAGGGAACAAGCTCTACATTCTCTGGAAAAAAAGGCATTTGCAAGTCTATTTTCAACTAATAGCCTTGAAGATGAAATGCTTTAAATGCACCAATGAGTTACCTAGTCTGCAGCTCCTTTGCCTGATGCTTCCATATTTCACGGGTAGCAGTATTCATTATTTAAAAGCAAGTGGAAACACAGTAAAATACAATCCCCACTCCCCCTTCCCCCTCATCCATTTGCACTTACCTGGCTGGCAGTGCAGTTCGATAAGCAGGTCTTGTTATCCGCAGCAAGGTAAAAGTTAGTGGGACAGGCACACGTGTACATCTTGTCGGGGGCTAGAAGGCACAAATGACTGCAACCACCGTTGTTTAGTGTGCACAGATGTTTAGACACTGTGGGCAGAACAGAAAAATTATATCAGAGTCTGTTATTTCAGAATACTTCAGAGCATCTGCCTTATAGAGGAAGAGAAATGTATTACACATACTGTTTTCACAATGGAATGTTTCAAATGAAAAATCCGTAAGGGGCAACCTTTTCCTTTTGCCTTTAAGCTATTCTGTTGTATGCAAAAATTAATTATTACTATGGATGTAGATTCAATACTGAAAGAATAAGAGGAAATAAAAAGCACTAGGGTTTTGGTTTTGTTTTTTTTTTATATTAAAATTAGCTTATCTAGGTCAAGTGCCAAATGGTTACAATTCAAACACAGGGACATCAGGAGATCAGACGCAATCATAATGCCTACATTCTGTGACATTCCCTCTGTCCAACGAGTTTCTAAATAACAGTATTGTTCTGTATTACTAACACTTTCTTACTTTTCAAATAATGAGGTTAAATGTTTTCATAACACAGTGTTCCCATCTTCATAGTTGGTAAGTCGGACCATAATGCAACTTAACAGTTCTGTACTTCCAGTCAGTACCTGGCTAAATTTTTAAGCACCCAAATTGTTATCTCGCCACTGAACAAGATATATCACATTTATTTAATAATAGACATACAACACTAATCACAGATTTATGTTTAAAAATGCTAATTTGAAAATGTGCACAATTTGAAACAAAACAACAAAAATAAATCATCGCAGAGAAACGAGCTCCCATTAACTCAACAATGGCTACTAAGTGAAATACATCAACAGGCCGTATGGAAAGCGCAGACAGAATAATTACCATCAGGTTGCCTATAAGAATGATACACCTGGATGTCTGTTATGGTATGCCACGAGTTAATCAGTGACAGTCTGTCTGATCCAGATGTTTTGTGGGCACGGCTGAGCGATTTGGTTTTCCCGTCTGTCCAGTAGACGTAGTCTTCAAACAATGTCAGTGCAATCACCCCTGGAATATCTTGATTAGGGACTGTAAGAAGAGATGCTAAGATTAATGTTCACTCTTGGAAGACTGCCAGTTAAAATACTCCATACTGCATGGGTTGACAGATACAACTGCTATATAATGTCTTGAGAATAATTGTCATGACAATATGCCAAGCCTAGAGGGTTCTTTATTACCAGATAGGATAAAGATGGATGGGGTACGAGCTCTGCTTGCTTAGAACTAGTTGGCCCGATCAGTGTTAAGGAAACGAAAGAATTTCAGTTAGCAAAAATCACCTCCAGATTCTAAACCAATGATACGTTAAGTTTTAAACCACTACATAACATAAATACAACTTAACCTACTCTTTACAGAAGGACAATATTAATTTGCTGGCCTAGGGGAATAAAAGTTATTAGAAAACATCCAGAATGGAAGGAATACATCTCCAGATGCACTGTGTTTAACACCCTGTAAGGCAATTCATAGTATTTTATTTTGGCAAAACATACAAGAGGGCTTACTGCTTACACTGTATTGCACAATCAATCCTACAGTTAAAAAAAAAAATACACAAAGTCATGATAAAATCCCATTGTTATATCACAAGATTATGAATAAACATCATTTAAAAAAGGATGGAAGAACAAAAGGGAAAAAAGCTTTGGAACATCTTTTATCCTACTGTACACTGTTTAATCTTGAACTATTTGTTCTTGGTAAACAAAGGAAAAACCCACTTATTTTTTCTTTTTTTTTTCTCAATGTATATAGCTGTAATCATAAATGTCACAGGACAACGTCTGACCACAATGGTCAATTTGTAAATTATAAGCTTTTATTACTTAATCACTCTAGTTACTGATAGAGCTGAAAAGGCAGATCAGAGCAGCCGAGTCTGCCATTTTTAACCAGTACATCCCTAATATTTTTACATTGTTTCCTCAGATGAAAATAGCTTCATCTTTCTACCTGAAATGTGCTTAAATAAAGTTGGCACATTTCAAATTCCAGTTGGAACAGTTCATAGTTCACTGACAATGCATATTGAGTATATGGAATGACAAATCAGCAAATTCACTTTTGAATACTGTTCTCTTGCTGATAGTGAACTCCAGCACAGGGTATGTCGCCTTCTGGTCCAGGAAACCTTGTTTCTTAGATCTGAAATTATTTTCCCATTTTTTATGTTTACATAAACCATAGTCATCATACTGAAATGACAGGATGATATTCTTTTGAAAAGCTTCATAACGTTTCCAATAAATTAATCAAAGTGTAAAGAAATCTTAATTTTGTCACTTATTACATAGACAACTTTGATGTGGTTCCTGGTTCCTTACACAAGATAGTATCCCCAAGAAAAGCTCTTACAATATCTCTCATTTGCAGAGCCACATCATGAAAAGACAGTCTGCAAAGTGAATCATTCCCCATGGCGATTGTTAACTATCCTGTTCCACTGAGCAAGGAAGGGAAGAATCCTTGAAGTACCATTATTTTAGTTTTGCCACCGAAGTAACGAAGTGAGCATAACAAAACAAGAATACAGAAACTGTAAGTATGAGTATTTACATTATACTAATTCTTTTTCCTCTTTCCTTTTTTCCTTATTTTCCCATCACTGGATTTATCAGAATAAATTGTAAGCAAATCCTCCCAGATTCAGGAAAACACCCAAAGGCTAGAGCAGGGTTTTTCTGTCCACTGGAAGACCTATAGGCATTATCACCTAATTAGATCAACTACTTGCATGTTAATTGTATTCCCACTCTGCTCTGGAGTGAACTAAATAATTCCTTTGGCGGGGAAAACAAACTGGAGGCTAGACAATCACACCCAGCTTCACCCTAGATGTAGTACGGAGTGTGGGGGGATGTCCAGCACTGCAAACAGTGAAAGGAACCCTGCACTTAGTCACAACTGAATCTAAGCAGCCAAATCCCAGTCATTACCTGTGTGCTTTTTTTAATGTTCTTCTGCTTAATGCGGGTGATTTTCCTTGAACCTTCTTGAGAGGTTCCTCAAGCTCTGCATACATCTTTGATAATGATGACTTCAACTTAATACTGTTCCAGAAAAAGCAGGTATCTCTGATGTTAATTTTAAAAAGTGAATGATCTTTAAAATGCTTTAGCATGATTATTAAGTTGGAATACTAATGATCATATCATATGTTTACTACCAGATTACTGCAATTACTTAAGGAAGCATAGAATTTGCACATGCATGTCATTTGGAAAAAGGAAATCATAATTCTTAATCACTTCAGAATTATTAGTTCATCAAAATGCGTATACAGGCATGCTTTGTAAAAGAAACACCTTTTGGTTTGAATCACTATCCAATATTTCAGCAGATCCCTGAAAAACTGGACTCTCAGATTTCCTTTTGCCACTCTCCTCAGTTACTTCATCGAATTCAAGTCATCTGGGCACAATCCACTGTGGTGTCTTTATACAGGGAGACTTAGGTATATTAAACTCAGCACTTCTTGTTTTATGAAGATTATAAACATTTGCTATTGAAAGTTTTCTTGTAACTTCTAAGCTATATGATTGTGCCACAGCACAAAAAATTAAAAGACAAGCAAGAATTTTGGGTACATCTGCCAAACTGTAGGATATCCCACTGACCTTAAAGGGCAGTTTGATG